ATTACACTCCTACAATACAAACTAGATCATAATCACCCAGATTCATTAAAAAAAAAAAAAAAGAAAGGTCCATGAACGAATGGGATGGATGGTTTAATGGTGGGTAACATTAGTATTATTATTGTTCTTTCTTAATGGGATATTTTTTTATAGGATATTTTTGAAGCCCAAAACCACGTATGGGACCAAAATATGTGTAGCATATGACTCAAATCCCTACTAAGCGATTCAAATTTGGTTTTGCAAGGTCGAATCCTGGTTATGTTTTAGAGGCTATAAAGGTGGTGACTTGAAGTTCATGGAATGGAACCATCTTCTTGTTACAATTCAAGTATGAGATTGATTTAAGGATAGTTGGATGTGGTGATGTTTGCCGGTCTTGGCTTGTCGTGATATGGTGGTTGTGGTTTTCAGGGCAATGGAGGTGTAGTGAGGTGGGGCGAGGTTGCGAAATGAGCTCTATAAGGAAGGAGAATAAAACTGTTGGTAGTTCTGAAGTTAATACAGAATTATTGGAAGCACTTAATGCACCATCAAAATTGGAAATGAAGAAGCATTCAATATAGGAAACCTGCAGGAACAGATGCAAAAACAACAAGAAGAAATTGAAGAACATATATGTAACAGGAAGAATGACTTCCCTAGCATTTATTTTTCACAAGACTTTACATGATCTACAACAAGAAATCATCAGAAAGAATTTACTACAGATTTTTCAAGAGTTTTACTCTATCTCACTTTCTTCCTTTATCTCTCGAGAGCTCACCTTCCTTCACTACTAATACTGCTATTTATAGACAAAAAAGGGGGCATCAAATTAGTTATTAACTACCCAACTAATCAAGATGAATATGCTCCTACTTGTTAAAGATTCTAACTGTAAATCGGTTGATCAAACCAGCAACAAAGGCTCCTCTTGCAACAGAATTTTTCCAATGGCTGAAGTGTCTAGAATATGAATCCAAGGAATCAACTTCTTACAATTTTCACCTTGATTCCTTGAGGGAAATTTACAGATCAAGTCCTGCAGGTTGATGATCAGGCAGCCTGTAATTGGTTTCTTGTATATCCTCAGTTACCCTTTCAGCATAATTGACCTCATATTCGATTTTAGTTACAACCTCAACTTCACTTCCTTGCAAGATATAGATGCCTTGTTGTAGAACTCCCTTCATGATTACCACAGAATTTTCATCACATTTAACACTCCACCTTGAGCTTTGTACACACACCCACATTTATCAAGTGCTCCAAGTGAGATTAAATTTCTTTCCAGACATGGTACATGTCTCACTCCACCTAGGACTTTTGATGAACCATCCCACATTTTCATTTTGATAGAACCAACAGCAATCACTTCACAGGTGTTGTCATTTCCCATCAGCACTTTGCTTTCATAATCTGGTTTGTAATCAATGAAAAATTGTCTTCTTGGTGTCATATGAAATGGACAGCTTGAGTCCATTATCCAGACATTGCTGAGGCTTGCTCTTGTTATAGCAAGTACTTTGGCAACTTCACAGTCTCCAAACGCATTAACATAGTCTCCATCTTACTTCTTTCAATCTCCTTGCTTCAGCCATCTCTTGTTTCTTTGTGAACAATTTTTCCTAAAGTGTCCTTCTTGATGACAGATCCAACACAGCTTATTTCCTCTCCTACCTTATACAATCAATACTTCTCCAGTCATCTTGGCAAGATTTCCATTCAATTTCAGGTCCAATTCCTTTGAGAAGGTTGTTGCAGCAACTTCCTTTAGCGTCAAGGATTTCATGCTATAATTGACGGAGTCTCTTAAATAATCATAGGCTGGTGGCTATGAATTTAACAAGAAGTCCAATTCCTTTGAGTAGGCTGATGCAGCAACTTTTTTTAGTTCAATGATTCCTTGCTATTCTTGATGGTATCTCTAAGATGATCATAGGATTAAGACAATGAGTTTAGCAAGAAAATAGCTTGATCTTCTTTATCAATCTTGATTTCAATATTTTCCAAATCAGAAATCAGCTTTGTGAACTCATCAATATTGTCATCAACTAACTTGGATTCATCCATCTTGAAACTATAGAACTTTTGCTTCAAGTAGATCTTGTTTGGTAATGCTCTAGTCAGGTAAAGTTCCTCCAATTTGCTCCACATTTTAGAGGTCGTTTCTTCCTTGATTACCTTACTTAAAACTGTATCACTAAGGCTAAGTATGATAGTGTTTCTTGCCTTCTTCAGGATGTCAGCCTGGTTTGATGCATTAGTGTCAGATTTTTCTTTTTCTTTCAATGCTTCATCCAATCCAAGGTGTGTCATCATCTTTTCCCTCCATAGATCGAAATCATTCTTGTAATCAAACTTTTCCACTTCAAACTTGGATGTAGACATGGTGTGATTGAGATTCTGGCCAGGAATCTTCCTTCACAATTGGTTTGTACAGCCAGTTATCAAGAAGAAGAAAATAAGGCATAATTTCAGACTTGTTTTGTTGCATCCTTTTTCAGGTTGCCAAGGCTCGGCTCTCATACCGATTGTTGTGGGTGTTATTACTACCTTTAGTTCTGAAGTTAATATAAAATTATTGGAAGCACTTAATGCACCATCAAAATTGGAAATGAAGAAGCACTCAATATAGGAAACCTGCAGGAACAGATTCAAAAACAATAAGAAGAAATTGAAGAACATATATGTAACAGAAAGAATGACTTCCCTAGCATTTATTTTTCACAAGACTTTACATGATCTACAACAAGAAATCATCAGAAAGAATTTACTACAGATTTTCCAAGAGTTTTACTCTATCTCACTTTCTTCCTTTCTCTCTCGAGAGCTCGCCTTCTTTCACTACTAATGCTGTTATTTATAGACAAAAGGGGGCATCAAATCAGTTATTAACTACCTAACTAATCAAGATGACTAGGCTCCTACTTGTTAAAGATTCTACTTGTAAATTAGTTGATCAAACCAGCAACAAAGGCTCCTCTTGCAACAGAATTTATCCAATGGCTGATGTGTCTAGAATCTGATAGGTTCCTTAGTCGAAGAATGAAAACCATTATGGAATTTAAGATATAATCTTTCAATAGGGATGAATTACACATTTCAAGATGTTTTAGCAGTTGATGGTTTGGGGATCAAATCAGGATTCATTTATATGATGTATAGTTGGGTCATATATTGATTGAATGTGTATTTCTAGGAATTGCACACTTAATATCATCCCATGTTCTTTTAATCCATGTTATAAAAAAAAACACTTAATATCATCCCATGTTCTTTTAATCCATGTTATAAAAAAATGTGGGATGTAAATAGTTACTTTTTGTTTAGTGCTTGTTTGGGAGAGTCAAAAAGCTTATTTTAATCAAAATGAGTGATGGGTTTCACGGGTTGAAAGTTTAGACAAAGTGGGTAGTAATTGTGAGTTTTATATAATATATCGTTAATATTATTTATTAACTTTGATCTCAACATTTAGCAGCTTTTTAAACTTTTCCAAACAAGCACTTAGCCTCTGCTTGGTTCAGATAAAAATCAAATTTTTAGTAAAATTTGATAAAGAAATGATAAAATGTGTGATTAAATAGATGAAGGCAAAATAGAGTTGTGGACCATCCTTTTCTTACTCCACTGTTTGGAGTCCATTATAATGAGATTTTTGGTCAACAATGTACTAATCTACAATAACAAAACATTTTAAAATGCAAAAGTGGAATCAGCTATGTCAAAAATTTATTTGTGCTAATTGGGCAGTTCAAAATTGTCTTACACATACCCTCACCTATCCAAACGTAATGACAAAATGAACCACCTACCCAATTGGGTAATATTGGAAAAATGGGTGAATGGTGGTGAAAGACACGTGGAAAAGTCAAGAATGAGTAGTAATTTTCGTCATAATACCGCAACATTTTGAGGCGTAGGGTCCACCAATTAGGAAAAATTGGGAGAGAAATGAGCAAATAATGGGGACCAAACAAACACATCTATACCACTCCATACAAGTTGCTTTGGGTCCGTGGCAGTGGAAAAGAATTCAAATTTCATGTTAGTTGGAAAATAAAAATTCAACAAACACATAGAAATTTGTTTTCCATGAAAACAAAAAAAAATGCAGTTGTTGTACCTTAAAAATCGGTTTTCATTTTCACGTTGCAATCAAACGGTTAAAGTTGAATTCGTTTTCCTCGAATGTGACATTTTTCATGGAATTCGTTGCAATCAAACAGAATCTTAGTAATTGATTACTCATTCCGTCTCAATTATATAGGTTGTGTTTCCTTTTTCTCTTATCCCAAATATATTGTAGAATATTTTGTTGTGTTCATTTACCAATAAACTCTTATTAAATTTTCCCCACTTAATATGCCAATTTCTTGAAATCATCCAAATACACACATTTCTCACTTCTTGGAAATATGAAACAACTCTCATTTCTTCTTCAAATTCTTTATTACTTCCAACAATAATTTAAATTTACATACTGAAAATTAAATAGGGGTAAACTAGACACTTCTTGAAAACATGGAACAACTATCATTTCTTCTTCTTCTTCTTTTTCAAATTTTTTATCAATTCCAACGATAATTTAGTTGTACATACTGAAAATTAGATATGGGTAAAATAGGAAAAATTTTGACAAAAATTAATTTTCCTATGATATTAAAGAAGCTTTCTTAATCCGTGTGAAAAACGAAACAAGCCTATATAATTGGAACGGAAAGAATATTTTTTTTTAAAATTACATATATTCACTTTTCAGCTTAGCCAAACATGGTGTAAAGGAATATGAAGCTAAATTGAACTTGTGCTTGGAAATGGGGAAGGGAATCTGATGCTTTTCATTAAAATCGAGGGCCAATTGGAATTCCCCACTGGCCTATTTCGTATCAAAATATATTCGAATCTCAGGCTGTAACGTTCTCTATCCCTTAATGTAAATCGCGCCGACTCGAGTATCCCCTGTCGCGCACACTCGAGTATCCCCTGCTTCTCACAGTCCATCTTCGCCGGCAATGGACGGACAAATCTCAGAATCAACCGTGAAAGAGAAAACAAAATGCCAGTCTCTCTCTCATAACAACGTCAGGGACCTCGTTGATTCCGTCGATGCCTTTCTCTTCGACTGTGATGGTGAACACACTCTATAGGATATTTTCTGATTCTTCTTCTTCTTCTTTTTTTTTTTTTTCAATTTTATTGCATTAACATGTGTTTCTGTGCCTTTGTTTATTCATTTTTTTTTCTATTTATTCAGGTGTGATTTGGAAGGGGGATTCACTGATTGATGGTGTTCCAGAGACTTTGGAAACGCTTCGGTCCATGGTATTTCTATTACCCCCTTGGTCTTTATTCTTTACCAATTTATACAGGGTTATCATTAGTTTAATATGCAATTCATCTATTAATAGTCATACACAAATCAAGATTTTATTTATCTGTTGCGTTGCAATTACCTGTTGTGCATTGTGTGTGCTTGGAACATCAAATTCACATTCATAATTTGTTTGGATATGTTAAATCTATCCTAGTCTATAAGAAATTATCATTTTTGAACGTATGTGGTTGCAGGGAAAGAAGCTGGTGTTTGTGACAAATAATTCGAGGAAATCAAGAAGTCAGTATGCTAAGAAGTTTCGTTCCCTTGGAATTTCTGTAACTGTGGTGTGTTCTGTTCACCAATATATTTAATTGAACTCCGTATGCAATATACAATTTAAATTGAGAATTTTGCTTAAATACTCTATCCTTCTGCTTTCAGGATGAGATATTCTCCTCCTCATTTGCAGCGGCCATGTACTTGAAAGTCAATGACTTTCCTAAAGATAAGAAGGTTGTTTCAATATTACAAGGTCTCATAATGCTTAAAATTTGAATCGTAAGAATGATAGTTGGGTGGATGACACTATCTCAAAGACTGATTGTTATGACAATTCGTTCCAATCAATATATCATTGTTAATAAATTAAACAGATTTGAACCTCATGCCTTCTGAAATACCGTCATTCCAAATCTGTCAAACAACAGCTGTACAAAATTTATCTACAACCTCTGATTATCAAGGCTACTCTTTATCGTTGTATCCTATCTAACACTCTTGGTTGGTTAGATCTATTCCAGTTTAAAATATCCTGTATTATCTTATTATCTGAGATTCTGAGGAAGATATTGCAATTGTGAATGACTCGAGTTTGTCCAAATGACACCAAAAATGCACTCAACTTCCACCAATTAACAAAACAATCCAGGATAGCTAAATACATATCAATCATCTGCTCTGTGCAGGTCTTTCTTTTGATATCTAATCAAGGATGAGTTTTTTTTTAGATGTTAAGACTAGCACGGAACAACAACCTTAACATATTAATAATGGAAAATTTGAGTTAAACTTGGAACAGCAGAGAGCATCTGCCCAAAGCAGAGAATCCTAAATTGGGTAGTGTATGAAGAAATATGGGATGGACTCCACACCAAATTCTCATAATCCTAATCTTATCCTACCTTCTAGTTGCCTAATTCCTCATCTACTTGGATGATGTCAATGAAGTGATGGCATGATGATAATATCAAGCCTTCCCTTATATTTTGCAGGTTTATGTAATTGGCGAGGAAGGTATATTGGAAGAACTGGAGCTTGCTGGTTTTACTGGCCTTGGTGGCCCTGTAAGCTTCAATTGGTTTCATCTCTGAATATATATTATATTGAACCGTTTAGTCCTACTAGCTGACATTTACCTTTTGTCTCTAGTTGTATGGTCTTGGAGGGATGAAAATTTTTGTTCACAGTTTTCATACTCTCAACCCCCTGGGCTTGCCCTTCTATTTCACCTCTTTGATTTTATTTTTTTTCTTTTTTATGACTTAATCAGCTATTCTTCGTATACATATATAGTATATTGATTTACCTGTTCATGTTTATTATTTATATTGAAACCAGCTGTTAAGTCTTTAGATTACTAGGTGTGCTATTTGTTATGATCGTTTTATTCGGATTGTAAATGACCATGACGTTCTTTGCAGGAAGATGGGAAAAAGACTGCTCTCCTGAGACCAAACTCTTTTTTCCAACATGATAAGAGTGTAATGCGACATCTTGCCCTCAATTTATGGATGCATTTTACCTTTCTCTGCTGTTTATTGACTGATGATCTGATTGCATATCCCAGGTCGGAGCTGTTGTGGTTGGACTTGACCAGTATATAAATTTCTACAAGCTCCAGTAAATTCCATGTTCCCTGTTCAAACCTGCTTATTGTCTTTTGGCATCTATGGCTAAATTAAGTGAATAAAATCTAGTGCACCAATTGTGGTTGGAATAGATTTAGTGCTTTCTTTTGCATAGTTTGGCACGACTGCATGAATTGCATGCATATCATAACTTACAGCTTGCCCAAGGGCCCGCATGGAATTTATCATGCTTTCATTCTGATTCAGCTGTGCAACTTAGCTGGAAAAAAATGACAGTTTTTAAGACCTTTCACTCTGGGTGCATTTCACCCCAGTGAATGTTTTCTTTGTTTTTGTGGTTGTAAAAGGCCTTATAAAGCTTTTAGAGTTACTCTCTGATGTTGCATCATGGAATGAGAATAAAATAATTCATTTGGCATTTGACTAAAACTAAGGGACTATATGCTTGAGTAAATATTCTTCTGAATTATTATGGAATCTCCCTGTCTAGCAGACCCTCTAATGAAAAGTTATAACTAAATTCACAATTCCACTCATCTGAAGGTATGGAACTCTTTGCATACGTGAGAATCCAGGATGTCTCTTTATTGCCACCAACCAGGATTCAGTTGGACATCTAACTGATCTGCAAGAATGGCCTGGTAAGCTTACATCTTTGCTTCTTTGACTAGCGTGAAAATTTCGGAATTAATTTTCTATTGATTACAGGTGCTGGATGTATGGTTGCTGCCATGTGTGGGTCGACTCAGAAAGAGCCTATTGTAGTTGGAAAACCATCGACCTTTATGATGGACTTTTTACTAAAAAGGTAGGTGAAACTCACACAGTAAAGCTAATTTATCTCTAGCTTATTATTTATTTTGAACACATACGTGATAATGTTGATAACCAGTTAGTCCCGGGTGAATCTGTTTATGTACGTAAGACCTTGAGCTTCCTTTTTTTTTTTTTTTACATTTTTTCCGCAGATTCAATATCCCTACTTCCAGAATGTGTATGGTAGGGGATAGGCTGGACACGGATATTTTATTTGGACTGAACGCTGGATGCAGAACTCTTCTCGTTCTTTCTGGTCATCTCTCGTTACTTATAAACTTCTCTTTGGCATAATTTGTTAAGACCCATTTCTCGCTGAGTTGAAAAACCGAGAGTATCAAGATTCATGAGCATACGAGACACTGATATTGCTACGGTGTTTGCAGGCGTGACAAGTATATCAACTCTTGAAGACTTATCAAACCATATTCAACCAGAGTATTATTCAAGCCAGGTGTCTGACATTCCTCAGTTATTATCAGCAGCTACGCTATAAAATATTTTTGTGGGCAGCTTATGCTGTTGAATTGAGATCAAAAGATGAAGTGACCAATTATTTTCGACATCCCAACATCGACTATTGTATTACATTTGTACGAGGTTTTATTCCCCATGTTTTTGTACACCATTTTTAACATTAATGTAGACGTTGCTGTCTTGGCAAATTCCTGGCTATATGAATACTTACCATACGTAGTTGACAACCACCTTGTATAGTTTGTTGATCGACTTACCCGATGTCAGTGAAGATGAGACAGCAAGTTACCCAATTGTTAAATAAGTTATTTATATGATTATGATAATTATTTAATATTATTGACATTATAGAAATAATAATAACTATTTCATACTATTTGTCTCCTGCTCACCTCTGCAGTTGTCCGTGGGATGGAGTGGGGTGGGGGGAGGGTGGACCAAGGGACAGTAGCGGTAGAGCAAGGTGGGGGTGCTGGTGGAGGTGGCAGTGTCGGCAATGTGGTGCACCCAATACCCATATCCAATGGCAATGTTGGAAATTGGTTTAAAATGTTCGATTTAACCAATTGGTTATATCCATTCATCGATTATGGGAGTTTGAAGGCACAACTTGTTCTACTCCGCAAATAGATTATTGTAGTTTTTAGAATCAATTTTGGGTGAATGCGATATTAAGGCAAAAAAAATGAGACGCTTAACACGTAGAAATTGTTGAAAATTGGAATTAGCATGATTGAATATTTTATTAATTCGGGTGTGTGGCATGTGACGAGATATTCGTTTACACCAACGGTTAAATGTTTCAAGATATTACATTCGTCAATTAACCAAGTAAATCCGATAACATTTCACTAAAGAATATTCAAAATCGGAAGCTACCTCATCGAATGCTCTCTCTCTCTCTACGGTGCATTATATTTTTGCATAGCATGAAAACCATTCATGTGGGGGATTTTTGAAATTTGGTTTAAAGATTGAAAATTTGGTTAAATATAAAACTTAAAAATTGTCTTTGTGTCAATTTCGACCAAATATTCGAACTTGATCCGATAGGCAAATTATAAAAATAAATAGACTAACTTTCTATTCGTCGAGTAGATCGTCGTAGTGTATTTAAAGTCTTAAAACCAATTTTGGATTAATAAGAAATTGCGGTCCAAAATTGAAAGAAAAACGAGGAGAAAATGAGGTAAAACTAAGCTGCAGGCTAGGGCCTAGGTAGCGGCGAAGCTGTCACTCGAGCATCGGGTTAGCGACAAGTGGGTGAAAAGTTTATGTTGAAAATGTGCCACTGGAGCTTAAGCGAAAGGCTAGTGACAACAAGAGATACTTCCCTTCGTTAAGGTTGCTGAGATTTAGAACGTGTTTCTTTACTCACAAGCTCTCCTCTTCTATAAATAAAACCCCTTGGACGTACATTATGCATTCTCATATTATTTGTATAGAGCATTATATCAAAATCTCTTATAAAAACTCTTCAAAATTCATTCCAAAATTGTTTTCTTGTAGAGAGAAAATTTTGTTCGAGTTCGTTGTTGCTTGTGGTTTGAATTACTTTTACCACAAGTTGTATCCATTGTATTTTGAGAGACAAGTACTGTAATCCGTTAGCATCGTTGCTAGACAATTTTGTCTTAAGGAAAAAGTGTTTGCCTTGAATTTCTTTTCTTCACTTTCTTTTCATTCTCCTTCCTTTCATTTCTACTTTACATAGAGTTTAATTACGCTCCTGCGAATTAAACTCAACAATTACTTTGTCCATTAACAAAAAACCATTTCACTACACAAATTCACCGACAATGACTTGGAGAAACATTGGGTTGGCATCAAAGCAACTTGTCGCATTGAATGCATGTTAATAATTGACGACAATACCATCATTTCATGTTGATGATCATGATCGTGATAGTGACTGTGACTGTGACAGTGACAGAATTGAACTGAGTGATCCAAATTAAAACTAAAGTATAGTGATTTAATCCCAAATTAAAATATATTGACTCAATTAAATTTGAGCAAATGTAGTTACCATAAAAGAAATTAACTCAAAAAACAAATGTTGCAAATATATTCAGCTTTTTCTTCTGATTCTTGTATTTAACAATCAATTAATTAGCATATCTTTTTTCTGATGACGGTTTATATTCAAATATTATATTATCATGATTTGAAATAAAGATCAAATATTTTGTCAAACTTTTTTTCCCCCTAGTTAAAAGTACAAGGAACAAATAAGTATTTTATATCCTCCTAATTTTTATTTTTTTTTGAATGAATATAGATAATATGTGCTAATAAATAGAAAGTTAATGATAAGAAAGTGACCAAAAAAAATAAAAAATTAAAATTCCATTTATTTTCAAAGAAATACTGAAAATTCAATTCTTGAGATTTTTGAATAGATTTTGATAAGATGCAGCAAGCCGTAAAATATGACTATCTTATATATGATTTTGAATAGATATCGATAAGATTTTTGAATAGATTTTGATAGATTTTTGATAATATGACTATCTTATATATGATTTATGAAAATGTGCTAAAAAAAAGGTTAATAATCTTCTCCTTCTGGTCTCTCCCTCTCCCTCAACATCAACATCATGGTCAAGTAAACGAATAGAGGTTGGACATCAACTTGCTCAAAACTCAAAAGATTCGCGACAGCTTTTATTTTGTTACATTGTGCAAAGTTCAGGTTAATTTTCTCTTTATTCTAACAAAAAGTGAATTTTAAAATGATTGTTTATTATTATTTTTCTTATCTTTGACGGATAAGAACTCCATGAAATTATGAATAAACATATCAACCCCCAAATTAAAAAGAAAACAAAATGAACATGAAATTCTATATAGACCATATGAAGTGTTGTGAAACAAACCACCAGATTGAGATGTTGAAATTATATGACAAATAATAATGAAGTATATGATCAAGTAAAAGAATAATAAAGACAAGAATATGACAGATAAATTAAGAGACTTATTGACTCAAAAATAATGGAGAAGGAAGAAAATTACAATAGATCCTATAATTCTAGTAATATATTTTCTCACCTTATAAAATTGTATAGAATAAGATAATGTTTATAGGGAATAAGCAGGGGATATCCAAACACACCTAGTAGAGTTGTTGATGAAATAGGATACCATAAAATTGAGTTCAAAACAAATTTCAACTCCCAATTGGCTTCCAAAATAGAATTTCAACAATATATGACTCCAATAATATTCCAAATTTGAATTCTTCATGATGTACACTTCAATTAGAATTCTTCAATTACTTCAACAAGGAATTCAGGTCATACCCAAATTCTAACAATCTCTACTTGACACGAATTCCATCAAGAAATGAACTGGCTTCTTCAACAATAACCAAAAAATTAACTTCTCCAACCAAATACAAAATACTTCACAATTTCCAATGAATCCAAGCACTACTCTGCAGAATTACTTCAAATTCCAAAAAATCATAATGATTTTATAATTTACCAAAATGGACTGTAACACACCCCAAAACAGAATCAATATCAAATGCTTTTACAGAAGGCTTATTGTTAGATTGTACACATTCTACTCCACTTAAAGCATGCTCAACAAAATCAGTATCCACATACCCACTTTCCATTGGGTCAGTCCCTAGAATTGAATACAATAGCACCGCAGGTGATGGTGGCAAAGCGACATTATCCATATCTCCTGAACTCCACTGAACTGTATTCTTCAAATCCGACTCTTTATGAACTCCTAAAGGTATTGTACCAAACTGAATGTCCACCACAGTCCTGAACTTGTGCTGATTGACTCTTCTGAATTCTACACGACCCTACATGATGTATAACTGAGACATTTTATGTCCCTCCAATACAACTTGGGTACCCTTACAAACCTTCAAAACTCCATATCCATCAAAGAATTCATACCCTTTTGCATCAAAGATAGCCAACGAGATGATATTTTTCTTCAAAACAAGGAATTCAGGTCATACCCAATTTCTAACAATCTCTACTTGACACGAATTCCATCAAGAAATGAACTGGCTTCTTCAACAATAATCAAAAAATTAATTTCTCCAACCAAAGACAAAATACTTCACAATTTCCAATGAATCCAAGCACTACTTTGCAGAATTACTTCAAATTCCAAAAAATCATAATGATTTTATAATTTACCAAAATGGGCTGTAACACACCCCAAAACAGAATCAATATCAAATGCTTTTACAGAATGCTCATTGTTAGATTGTACACCTTCTACTCCATTTAAAGCATGCTCAACAAAATCAGTATTCACATACTTTTTTCCATTGGGTCCGTCCCTAGAATTGAATACAATGGCACCGCAGGTGATGGTGGCAAAGCGACATTATCCATATTTCCTGAACTCCACTGAACTGTATTCTTCAAATTCGACTCTTTATGAACTCCTAAAGGTATTATACCAAACTGAATGTTCACCACAGTCCTAAACTTGTGTTGATTGACTCTTCTAAATTCTGCACGACCCTGCATGATGTATAATTGAGACATTTTATGTCCCTCCAATACAACTTGGGCACCCTTACAAACCTTCAAAACTCCACATCCATCAAAGAATTCATAACCTTTTGAATCAAAGATAGACAACGAGATGATATTTTTCTTCAAATCTGGAACATGTCGAACCTGGCCAAGTGTTCTAATTGTCCCATCCGAAAGCTTCAATCTGACTGTGCCAATTCCAGTAACTCGACAAGATGCATTATTTCTCATAACCACGACACATTTGGAAACAGTTTTATATGAGAGAAACAAGTCCTTATTAGGACACATATGAAACACACATGCTGAATCAAGAATCCAATCATCTTCCGGTTTAGACTCAATGCCAGAAAAAGCTAAGAGTTCCCCATCACTTACAACGTTCTCCACGAGGTCTGCTTCGCCTAAAGTGTTTGAATATCTACTTGCAGCCATCCTTTCTTTATTCTACAATTTGTAGCAATCCTTCTTTAAGTGCCCATTCTTTTTACAGTAGTTACAAATTTGATTACTGAACATAGATTTCGATCTGCCCCTTCCAGAACTACCATGAGCAACCAGGCCTTCTCCATCTCTGGCCTTAGAAACCAGATGCTTCATCTTTTCTTTTGAATACAAAGCATCATACACTTCCTCTATGGTGAGAGTATCACGACTATACAAAATCGTGTCTCTAAATGAAGAAAACGAAGCGGACAACGACCACAATAGGATCAAGGCCAAATCTTCTTCATTATACTCTATTTCCAAAGTTTCCAAATCAGGGACGATGCCCTTAAATACAGCCGATGATTTTCCAATGATCCCCATTTGCCATGTGATGAGAGTATAACCGCTGTTTGAGATGCAATTTGCTTGTAAGACTCTTGTTCATGCATAATTGCTCCAACTTCAACCACAAAGCAGCTGCTGACCTCTCATTCAAAATGTCCTGGAGAATAGAATTTGATAGATGAATGTGAGAAACTGTCTTTTTATCCTTCCGTAATTTCTCTTCCTCGGTCAAAGTCGCTTGCATCATATCAATACCCAGTAACGCATCATTCAAATCCAACTGTGCGAGTATTGCACGCATCTTAACTTGCCATAGCGGAAATCTAGTGCTTCGATCCAAAAGCGGAATGTCATACTTCATGGTAGCCATCACGAACAAAAACTTCATACAAATAAAAAAAAAAAACCTTAGCTTTGCGGAACTGCTGAACCCGTGCTCTGATACCAATTATTGTAAAACATCCAAAATATCAAAATTGCTCTGATACCAATTGTTGTGAAACAAACCACCGGATTGAGATGTTAAAGTTATATGGCAAATAATAATGAAATATATGATCAACCAAAAGAATAATAAAGACAAGAATAAGGTAGAGGAATTAAGAGATTTTATTGACTCAAGAATAATGGAGAAGAAAGAATATTACAATAGATCTTATAATTCTAGTAATAAATTTTCTCATCTTATAAAATAGTATAGAAGAGCCTAATATTTATAGGGAATAAGTAGATGATGTCCAAACCCATCTAGTAGAGCTGTTGATGAAGTATGATACCATAAAATTGAGTCCAAAACAAATTTCAACTCCCACTGGGCTTCCAAAATAGAACTTCAACATGATATAGGATTCCTATAATATTTCAAATTTGAATTTTTCATGACGTGCACTTCCATTAGAATTCTTCAATTAATTCAACAAGAAATTTAGATCACACCCAAATTCTAACATGAAGATATCCTTGCAAGTTTAATTAATTCTAAGTTTCAACTTTCCATTTTCTCTTTTTGGGGAATTATAATCTTGGGATTGTTCAAAAGAAACAAAAGATGCAGCATGTAGAAAAATTTGTTCTTGTGCTTTCAATCATTTGCCTCCTCTTCGATTGTACATTTGCTTGTCCGGGTGGTGGAGGTGACATCAGCGGCTGCAGTAGGGGAGGCAGACACGCTGGCATTGGTGGACCAAACCGTGGTGTTGGAGGCACGTTAACCCGCAACGGTGTTCAAACCAGTGGTGCAACCAATGTGGTGTGCCCGCGCCAACTGCCTACGTCTTTCGCATGGCCATGTTTAGTAATGTCGTGCTTGGCTTACGCTTCGCTTGGATTGATCATTTCGCTAAATTGCTTATACAAAAATGTAAGACAAGTAATACAATTAGTATTTGTACATTAATTAATTGTTGATCGTGACTTGAAATTATTTTCCATTTATTGTTATCGTACGGCTTATGAATTTATCAATCGTCACAATCAATATTTTGATCAAAGATGCTTAAAAACATCTTTTAAGCTTAGTCTCTGATCTCTTAACTTTTTCCTATAATTTTTTAGGGTTTGTAAGCAATCATATCCATAATTCACTGCAATTTGTTTATATTCTTCAACAAATCCAAATTACTTGATTTTCCCGTAGGGTAAATGTTGACCTCAAAAATAAGTACAACTTTGCTATCGTCACATTCTTGTGTCGCTCCACTCTAGCCTTTATTTTACCTTTATACTCGGATACAAACAGTTAAGAATCAAGAT